TCACTGAGAAAGATCTACTCTCGTTCAGGAGTAGACATTACAGAATAGAGCTTGCATCTCTCATTTACAACTGATATGGTGATGAGAACTAGTATATCTTTAGAGGTAACTGCAACTATGCAAAAAGTCGTATACTTGATTGTAGACAGTGTGTTAGATAGATTAGTCAGCAACATTGCGGACAAGAATTTTATCCGAAGACAGCGCAGTTCTAGTTGGTCACTACTATATGCAAACTCCGGAACACATTGCATTTGGCCCTACTGATATATACAGGATCTAGATTGGGCGACTTGAATGGCTAGAAGAACATTACTACAAGCTGAGCATAGAAGGATCTTAGAAAGGCGAGTTATACTTTATGAGCTATCAATCATATAAAGCCGGATCTAGAAGGATCATTCTGCGTTGATTGAACGAGTTGCATAATCCTGATGCTAGCGAAAGTCTCCATAGCAGATATCTATGATACATTTGGCTAGTATAATTTAAAAGGATGATGGTCATTTATAGCTCTCTGATTTAGATACCTTGAATGTTGTCCAACTAAAAAAGTACAAGCCGCTCGCAACAAAGCAAAACCTCCTATTTCGACGCCCCATCTTTCTGCTATTAAATGTGCTTGGAGGACGACTTGGCATTGCAGACCAAGATGACTCGTCTGCTGATAACGTTGGTTACATGGATCTGCGCTCTGCTAATTGTTGGCTGTCTATATTTTCTTGCCGTAATTGTGCACGATATCAATTCCATCTATGACGATGTCATTCGAGATGTACAGGAGTTCCAGGTTAGCCTTTGCTACTACCATAATTTACTTATGAAAAGAATAATTTAGGATTTTGCGAATGTGGCTTGGAACGTAATCATGGACGATGTACAGCATTCACATAATGTGAAGCGGGAAAGCAAGACCAAATCGAAAACATCGAAGCGAGTGTTAGCAGTAGTAGCAGCAGACGAAGAGTGCCCGCCAGGACCTAAAGGCCCACCAGGAATACCTGGACCGCCAGGTGAGCCTGGTGAAGATGGCCAGAAAGGATTCCCGGGCCCCTCCGCAATAA